CGATGTCTGACATCGGCCTGAAAAGGGCCTAAGAACACGCGCTCCTCATAAGAACAGCAGGCGTTTTGCATGAACGAGTACGATATTCGCTTCTACGAGGTGAAATTACGTCTGGGGACAAAATTCTGGCTAAATTGAGGATTTGCACACCCCGGTGGTAAGAGTTTTGTATTCTTGGCCCAAATAAAGCTATGGTCCCAAGTCTAAGGTCGGCGTTCTCTTTTAGGCTGACCCACCGAATTTTTCGAAAACCTTGAAGGTAATTTAGTTCCCTGATCAAGTATAACGCCTGGGTCAAAGACCAGAATTGCACTCAGCGATCTAGTGATTTAATATTCTCCATATTTAACGTCTCCAATGTATTCGGTGTAATGATTGCGCGTCAAATGATGGTGCTGGAAATGGATGTGCTGTTTATAATTAGGATCTCAAATTCCTCTGTAGATTGAGTTCCAACAAATACCTTCCTTTTCAAAAAACGAGAAGAGCGTCGGGTGCAGACCATACACCACAAGTGACGACGGCCTCCAAGTAAATCTGGTTAGTAGTGGTTCATAGTGATAGCTGATTTTTTTGGTAAATGATAGTTGTAATTAGTGACAACTGATAGAATACAACTGCAACAGGCTAATCATTTCATTGGCAGAAAACATTTACATTTTGTGGAGGCCGTCGTCACTTGGTGTATGGTCTGCACCCGACGCTTCTTCTGCGTTCATAAGCGAGGGTAGTCCCCTTGTCTGTAGAGGTTGGAACGGTCAGCCTGCGAATCCAACGCGACTACAGTGCGCGTCAATTTGTATATGCCACCCCCTAATTTTTTCAGTTTTCCGACTTATTTGGAAATTTCGTAAATCGGCATAGCAACCATCGGTTTCGGCGTGTCGGAAAACTAGGAACGGTGTTGTTTGATTTTGGTTAACGCGTGGATTTGAATTGCTCTGTTCTTTTGAAGAAAATGGGCCGCGTCAATTGCTTATGCCATCCTAAAGTTTCTTCAGAATTTCTCATGTCTCTAACGCTATTCAGCTACGGTGTGCATGCAGTACAAATGAGGAAATCCTCCACTTATGCAATGCACACAAATGGTGGAGCATTTATAACTAATTAGTTCGGAATATTAGCCCTAATACTGGACGGTAGCAGCATGAAAACGCTTTATCAGAGAAAGTGCTGTGTGCTCACTCTTGCGATCGCTCCTGCTGCTTATTGTAGAACTCATCGAGGAGTGTATCCAGGCAAAACTGGGAAATTGAAGTGCTCAAGGAGCTCTTAAATTCTCATTTTCCCGCTTCGAATCCGTGGTCAACTTTATTTGTGTCTCGGCTCCCTGCGAAGCTCGAAGCGTTCACGCTCACAAAGTCTCTGTTCAGAGAGAATATGAGTTGCACTCACAATCCGCGTAGTACCCATCGCCGAACTTTGTCGGATTCTCTCTGGAAAAATTTTCGTACCGAGCGAGCGAAAATGATGACATGGGCCAGTTGTAACTTGAACGGGACACCGAAGTGGTGGCATGGGCCATCATTGCATCGCCTTGATAAGAAAACTTCGATCGAGTTCAGTGATGGGTACCAGACGGGTAGTAGGTACGAGTCGTGTTCTCTCTAAAAAGAGACTTTGTGAGCGTGAACGCTTCGAGCTTCGCAGGGAGCCAAGACCACAAAAATAAAGTTGACCACGGATTCAAAGCGGGAAAATGAGAATTTAAGAGTTCCTTGAGCACTTCAATTTCCCCAGTTTTGCCTGGATACACTCCTCGATGAGTTCTACAATAAGCAGCAGGAGCGATCGCAAGAGTGAGCACACAGCACTTTCTCTGATAAAGCGTTTTCATGCTGCTACCGTCCAGTATTAGGGCTAATATTCCGAACTAATTAGTTATAAATGCTCCACCATTTGTGTGCATTGCATAAGTGGAGGATTTTCTCATTTGTACTGCATGCACACCGTAGCTGAATAGCGTTAGAGACATGAGAAATTCTGAAGAAACTTTAGGATGGCATAAGCAATTGACGCGGCCCATTTTCTTCCAAAAGAACAGAGCAATTCAAATCCACGCGTTAACCAAAATCAAACAACACCATTCTTAGTTTTCCGACACGCCGAAAACGATGGTTGCTATGCCGATTTACGAAATTTCCAAATAAGTCAGAAAACTGAAAAAATTAGGGGGTGGCATATAAAATTGACGCGCACTGTATAATGACAGTCCACTACCCATTGGCTCCACCGTGGCCGGGTGGGTGGTGAGGGATTTGTGGCACAATGTGTGTGTAGGGGCGTAAGCGGCTGATTCAAGGGGCGTTGGGAGCGACTTATTCTGTCTTCGCGGAGTGGAGGAGCGCGAGGGAATCCTGCGGGTTGCGACTAGAGCATTGTCAAGTAATGTTTAAGTTCGATGAAAACGACTGCTGCACTTTGGGGGGCCCGCCCGCCTTGGCTTGAGAACCCTTCGTTCGTGTGTTAGGTACGCCAGGATGCCGCAATGTCAAAGACGGGAAGTTCAAGAGATATCTGTCCCAACCAGGCTCCAGATGAGCAATGATGGAAGGTTTATGACCATCTCCCACTATAACATTTTTACAAGAAACGTAAAGAAAAATCCACGAGCGGATACGACTCTCATAAAACCGGCAAATCCTTCTCTCTGAATGTTAGAATCCCACCACATGTAGCGAACAAACCTTTTAGTTTTGGTCACAATGCCGTTCAGAAGATGAGCCGCATCACTAATCAGGGTGGAAACCGTCAGGTGGAATACATTTATAATAGGCCCACTTCGATGAGCCTCTTCTTGGGCTCGCTAAATATGCCATCAAGACTGAGCTAGTGTGAATAGTGCCCCGGTGGTGCAGTGGTCGTACAACTGCCCGGTAAGGAGTCGCGGGTTTGAGTCCCGTCTCGGGCCAGGATTTTAATTCAGCATTCTAGTGAAATTTGTGCAACGGCAACAGCAGCGTCAAAACAGTGGTTAACAAGCAAAACAAGCTAAAAATTGCCTAGTTTGGAAGGCTCGAAAGTGCGCGACAAGGGCCATGAGGCTTGGCCAGTGCACTTCCTTAGGCCGATGTCAGACTTTGCGAATCGCGCGATTCGCTAGCGTCCGGTCGCGTCGCGGCCAGTGAATCACTCAATTGGCTGGTACCGCAACGCGACCGCGGACGCTAGCGAATCGCGCGATTCGCAAAGTCTGACATCGGCCTTATGCGACTGCTGTTTCTCAATCGCCGCATGCGGGATGTCTGCATCCTCCCGTACGGCGTGCTCTCTCGCGCGTTCTCACCACTCAACATGCTGTCTCCCTATTAAATCACAACAAAACTTATAAGGAAAGGAGGCCCTCGAATAGAGTTTCCCACAGTTCGCTTCCTTTCTTCACAAGTGCCTTTGAACTTCCACTGCATCGACAGAATGTAAATACGGCTGCTGCGGAATCCTTCACGTGAAAGCGATCCCTGCACCGTAATATATCTATCTAGAAAAAAATAGCCGAAAAAAAGCCAAGAACTTCTGCCTTCTCCACTGTCAAGCACTCCTCTGCACCATCCCATTGCTATGTTTGCGCCCCTTTCAAGGGGATATGCTTCAATACTTCTGAAGAATCCCACTTTGAGTGATGAAATTTATCACCGTATAGTTGTTCAAATTTTCTAAAATGTAAAAATAGACATTTATGCATCATTTATACAGGTAACCAAGGAAAAACGTTTTTTACAATGTATAGCGATTACGTGACAAAATGTGAGCATTAAGCCTGAAATGCTAGGATATCTGATGGTCCAGGAAAGAACCGTACATCTACAACTATACAAACACTAAGAGATTCTAACCAAATACAACCACAGGAATGGAAAAAACGTCGTCAAAAAGATAAGACGACGAACTAGCATGGAAGTTCGTATCGCAGATATCCTGTACGCGGGTGAGCACTGAAATTGTGTATCTAACCGCAATACTTTATATCGGATAAGTGTCAAACTTCGCGATTGCAATAGCGATCGCAGTCGGGAAGGGGCTGGGGCGGAGTGGCGAGGGACACGCCGTGATGCAAACCACACCAATCAATAACAACAAGCCTCACTCGCGATCCTGGCATCGCGCCAGAATCGCGGCCGGCTCTCTCGCGACTGTAGATGCGATTGCAACAGCGAGCCTGACACCTGTTTTATACTTGCTCTATTGTCAGGTGAATATGTAGTATTTTCAGCGCATATAGACGGACATAAAACGTTGGTCGTAATAATCTCTACAGATAACAGGAAAAGGGATAGTTCAGATGCAAATGACAAAATCGACTCAATATTTGCTCGAAGGAATGTTGCAGCTATTCTTCAATGAAGCAGAATCAGCCGAATTCTCTAAACGACACGGGACTCAGCAAATTACCCAATCACAGCTTTTCTGCCAATATCTGTTTCTCACGAAATATTTCTTGGGATTTTCTTTCCCAAAGCCTGATGTTCAATTGCTAACGAGGCGATTCGCTAACGTTCGCGATCGCCGTCGCGTCAGCAATTGCTGTTTGCTGGAACGCTCGAACCCAGCGAGGCTGGCGAATCATCCTGCTTCGCAAGTCTACATCGAGATCAATTCAACACAACAGCCTTAAGGTGAATTTGAATCGCCATTCTATGCCTCCAACACCAACTAAAAAATGCATCAACATCGAACATTCCTGAAACTGGTACAAGTATGTCTTAGCTGATGTAAGGTTTTCCCAGACCGAACACGAACTTTTCGCTATTGCCACGCTGACGCTACTGCGTGAGCTCCAGTGCAACCCACATTTTATGGACCTGGGGTCCTCAGCGGGAACCTTTGCGCTACATCTCCAGCGACCTCACTACCTGTGAGCATGTCTATGTTCACTTACATTTTCAATACAATTTTATCTAGATCACACATAACATTACTACTAAAGCACTTATTCTGGATAACACGACACCAATCTACTTGTAGTGTTGTTCCGGCTGAAGTAAAAATGCTTCGAACAGGTATTACATGAGATCGTTTGCGCGAGCATCAACATTTATACGCCAGATATCGACATATAGCCGTAAAGTGTGGTAAGACGTCAGTCGAAGCATCAGCGTAAGATGATAACGCATTGAATTGCTGAACAGTAGTGTTTGGAATACTTTCAGTGCTTTAAAAGCGATGATCTTGACCTAAAAAAGTCCACTTCACTGTAGTTAAAAACCTGCAAGGGATGCCTAATAAATTCTCCAGGAGATTATATCAAAACTCATTCACCCTAACTCCATGGAAACCGGGCAAAAGTGATTTGCTATAACTTCGTGGAAAGGTATGCATAAGATTTTATGCACTCAACCGTCCTTATCAACGGTATCCTTCAAATGAATCTATTTCTTGGAAAAGTCCTGTCACCCTAAGAGATAGCCTTAACGGTGCATGACGTCTTATTCTTAATGTTAATGATGCTCAGAATTCGGTTAAGGGTACCGCTAACTCTAAGGATATTCACAGATCACAATGGATTTATCAGATTCCAAAGATTTCGGCATGGTTTTAGCTCTGCCATATTGGAAAGAGAGGGCAAAGCCATCGGGAGCTGTTCCATAAGTCGACTCGCATTATATCTCCTGCTAACCTGGTGAACTGATTACGGCGATTTCACTGTGAAAAGTTAAGCCCATAGAAACAGAAGAGTTAAAGGATGTACGGTGAAGAGAAAGCCAAAAATGCCTAGAGCCCAAATGGAGGAACCCCTTCTCTGCTCGTTGATTTTCGCAATAACATCGGTGCTGATGTAACCCGTGTGAGAGCTCTGCTCTGCGTCTCTGCTAGAGTCAGCGGTGACTAAGTCCAGAGTGAGGGTAAACCACAGTTGGGTGGATAAAGGCGAGCGAGCGGTGTCACGGCCTGTGAGGTCGCTGGCATACCCTTTGCTAGGCACGAATTCCTATCGCACTTTACATATGCGCCTACCTTCGACTGTATATCCTCTTCAAACGATTCCATGTGAATATTCTCAAGTTGAGACATTTGACAATCTTATCGTTCTAATAAAGAGCCTTACAACCTCTTCTGGATAAGGGGTAAAAAAACAATGTTTCATCGGTTGACCCGACAATCACTTTAGGCCATAACGCATTCAAGAAGTCACTACGATTTTGAATGGAAGTATACTGCGAGGGACATTCCATAATTGAGTACCTTTTTATCCTCTCAAACAGCCATACGTAATTATCTACCAGAAGAAGGAAAAGATACATACCCGTGAACCAGTACTTTACATTCAACAGTATGGGAACGAAAATCTTCGCTTCCAAGGCACTTCGAATGAATTGCAAATGATTCGGCGAGATCAGGTCATAATGTTCCCAAACCATTCCGAAACGTCCGTGTCCGCCAAATCGTTCCTCACAATAAAGCGATGTCGCTAAATCTCATAAACAATCATGATCGCTCATAAACAAACTAATATAAAGAATACTAACACATTGATGGCGCGACGCGGTTGCGGATCACACTTTGCAGACCGCGTGGGGGAGTGACGCGATCGGAGGCATACATACGCCATTACTCACCTCGCAAAATGGCCAACTTCCTCTCCCCAAGTATGGATCATTTTATTTTTATTTACCAAACCATGACCGACCTGATTCGAAGTATGTTAAAATATCTTAGAACGGCAGAGGTTTTCACAAAAAATATTTCAGTTTTTCATGCCTTACAATTAATTTTGTTTAATTCATTCCCTCGCTTTTTTAGTCTCATAACAAGTCATATAAAAAAGAGCGTGGGAAGACAAAATACAGACCTTGCGGATCGATAAAATATTTGTTTTTTTTTACAACAACCTCAGCTTTAAAGACACTTTGAAATTACTACTACAGCGTAAGCGAATACAATTGGCTCCTCCTTCGCCATTACTTCCTCCCAACTGGAATTTTGCTGCTTTACCCACGAATAAGTTCTACGCATCGGCAATTGAAAAAGTTCTTCCTGCATCTGTAGCCCTCAAAATCCACGAATCTGAGGTGGTTAGACGGCTGCAATGTCGCAGCCTGTGCCAGCGCAAAAATCCGAACGAGGTAGTTAAATAGCCGTCGCAAATAGTGTCAATAATTAATTTTGTAAAAGTAACAGTAAATTCGTACGAGATGTAGCGTAATCGGGCTCGCCCTCGAACATCCTCTCCTAAAGGCATAAATCAACCCTAGCCGCAAAATTCTTACGAAAACCCTCCTATAAAAAAACCATCGCAAATTTTATAGAATATAGGTATTTCATGCATGTAAGAATGATCTTATCCTTACCGAAACCTTGAGCGAAGGACTAGGCAGTTCGAGTATGGAGTAATGATCTGGAAATCACTACCCTCATATGGAAACCCGGCCCGGTTGCAAGCTCAACTAGGGTTATTCCTAGAGACCATACATCGCTTCTGATGTCATACGGAGTATTTTCCTTAAAGAAGTCTGATGAAATCTATAAATATTCTAGTGAAAATGCTTACTCACAGTGGAGCGTACTCTCTCTGGGGCCATGTATGGTGGACAACCAGCAAGCTTCGACTTTGCACGACTTTCGATAAGGAATCCGCTAATTCCGAAGTCGCACAGTTTCACAACTCCATTCCAATCTAGCAAAATGTTTGACGGTTTGACATCCGGCTGTATACGCTTCTGTATGGGAATACGAGACATAGCGACTCTTCAACCATTCAAACACAAGAATGCTGGATGATGAACAAAAGTTAGGCCCCACGCGGCAAACCGTACACGCCCTCTCTGTTACTGCGCAAGTGCGCTACAAGTGCCGCATCCTACCCTCCCCCAGGGGAACTCGTCTCCCATAGCTGATTCTATCCTAGTGGGAACAGGGTTGAGTCACAACACCAAGCCGCACTCGCTTTTAGACTCTAGCGCGCATCCATCAGAGAAAGATGCCCAATACCAAGTACCTTCATCACCACGCGTTCATTGGCAGCTCCTATACGGCAGCCCTGTTCCTTCTCCCCCTCCCACAAAAAAAAGAAGACCGAAGATAAAACCAAGTGGCGGAGGACGCGTCCCAATAGGGAAGCATACGAGAGCGGACTCCAAGTTACGCTAACCGGGCACCCGTTCGTCTTAACTCAGCTTTGTGAGACCTATATCTAGGCTAGGCAAACTGCGGCCGTAAAACAGCAGTCTTCCAACAAACCATTTCCAAACACAAATTAACATGATGATAAGTAAAGATGCTCACAATCCTTAGAGATTATGAAGTCAAACGTAATGTCTCCATAATCGCGCATTTCGCTGTTTCACTCCTACACCTTCTTATTTCAAGATTATTTGATCATTAACACAAAGTATTACTATTACTAGGAATTTCAACGAATTGAAATAAATCGGCCTCAACAAAAAGAGAGAAAAGGCTATGCGTATGTTTCCCGTCGAATCAATGACCTTAGAGCTTTTCTTTAGCACAGGGTCAACTTGGGATTCGTCATCTATCAGGAATTTCCACTCACCAAAATTTACCGATATGACGCTAATCATGACAGCCACGAAGCGTTTTGCTCATACTGGCTCAAGCTCAAATAATAAGTGAGCCAATGAGCAAAAAATGAAGCGCAACTGTAAAAAATTGTCTGTGCTACATGAGCCAAACCCAAGCCAATACGAACCCACAAGTATGCCACCGTTATATGAGAGTTAGGCAATCAGCTCGTACATTAAATTATTTCCCATTTAAGCGGATGAGAAATAAGGGAAACCACTGAATAACATTGAAGCATACAGTGTGAAAAACGACTGAGCTATTTGGAAGACCATTCAAAGTGGAGAATTAGTGCGCAGTTTTGGACATCCTCGACTTCTATAAGGCATCTATCAAATTGGTTCTCAAAGAGCCTAAACCATCACATAACAGAACTTATAGTACCCCCCCCCTTTAGCAATTAAAACCAGTTTTGAACGCCTATGCATGAATCAAAAATCACCAGTACCTCTTTACTAAGAAAGTTAAGGTAAACGCACGGAGAGAAAGAAGAACGAAGTGACCAAAATCAATTCGAATAAAGTATCCAGACTTACGTTTTACTTTGAGTAGTCCGAGAGTCTTATACCTCACAGACATTTTCCCAACTATCGGCTCTGGAATCGGTTCATTGCCCGTTCGTTTCAGTAACAAATCCAGACAAGTAGCCATAGCTTCCATGCATATCATAACCTCGTCTATAATATAACTTTGATATATTTTTGCTGGCAAAGGAGTGTCGCCTAGGACAGATTCGACTTTTGAGCTTTCGCACGCGAAACTTTCACCATTGAACCCCGTTCACACTAATCACAACAATACCCGTTTTATAGACGAACAATGTTTTCGCGCGTGAAAATGGAAATGGTCGCTTTTTGTAGCGAACCGCACGAGCTAGAAATTTCTTTTATTAGGAGAAGCACATCAGTGCTAAAATTCATCAAAATAACAAATTTATTGGAGGAGGTGAACCACAACAACTCACTGAAATTATGCAAACAATTAGGGGAGGCGAAAAAAGGAAAAGAATCGCAGATGAATTTAAACTTTTTCCGGAGCACCACCTTGTTCTTTCGAGTTGTTTTTGCCGCAGAAACCTAATGTATCTGTGCAAGAGCCTAAAGCTGCTCAAATGGCGATGACTGTTTGATCGAGAGTGTAATCAATTCCACATCGTTTTAGATGTCATTTTTGCAACTGTAGCGTTGGCACTAATATAGTCTGGCAACAGACCGCGGCTCTCTTCATTTCCATATGCATATTTTCGATCAAATTGGCTCTATTATTGAGGTGTTTCTCATTACCACGTCTTATTCTTTTGGCAATTGAGTCACACCACTTTCATGCGGTTTGTGATGTACTGTTATTGAAACGAAAAAAAAATTATCTGAAAACAGCAACGACACTTTTTTGGGGCACTTTCGAGCAGGGTGAAAATCGTGTCGAGACGTGGTCGCGGAGGTACACAAGCCGGATTTAACAGTCCGGTGAGTGACCGCTACCGTAATCCACGTTGGCACTGGAGCGCGCAGCTACACTACTGATGTGTACCCACACGTTTCAGCACCAACGTGAGAGGGTATAGCGCCTCGCTGGAGTGCACAATACCCCCTCCACCACAGCCGCCCTTGGGCGACTATCCAAAAATACACGCAGCACTCGGCTGCGCGCGCTTCGCGCGCAGGGACAAGGGAGGTTAGCCCCGGGGTGCCGGCTAAAACCACTTGCCGGCACATTCGACCAACTGCCATAGTCCTCCTATATACCAGCATGGACGCTCCGTACAAGAGCCAGGTTCTATCACGCCCATTCTGTCGCCGTAGAGTGCGCGGAAAAACGACAAAAGGGCACGTCGAATTCTAATCGATGACACGTGACGTTGCGCGCCAACCAGTCACGTGTTACGGTTGCGGTCACTCACCGGACTTTGAAATCTCCAACAATCGAGGTAAGACCCCCCCCTGGAATCGAGGTCTTGGCACGACCCCCTAAAACAGAGCATACGCAATTAATCCACTTCAGCAATTGAAATAAAAAAACTCCTGCAAAATAATATTGTAATAACATAAAAAGCAATAGTGATAGTAAATAAAATAATGAGTATTAGTAATGGTAATAATAATATTGTCCTCCTTACACTTTCTCTCATCGCTGCAAACTTCTAGCACTCGCTGAAATATGGACTGGAGGAAGGAGGCAAGAACTCTGTGTGGTCCCAGAAGCAGGTTCCTTTAGAAATGCACGAAAATCCTCACTGCACGGGTTGCAACTGAATCATAATTCCTGCTTGAGTATTCACAACAGCCGAGTGTATCGCTCAACAGCAGATTCATCGGTAGGTGCGGCGCGATTTGTCATTGGGTCAGATTTGCCGAAATCGCGAAAAAAATCGTCGAAATCTACACCCTCGATGAAAAGGTTGCATTCCATCCATTTCATAAACCTTTGAAGCAGTACGAGCTAGGTTTTGGTAGGGCTGGATCTCGCGTTTTCAACAATTATTTAAATTGCTCTGAAAGCCTTCCATGCAGAGAGCTATGGTCTCTCAATCTGCGTCGAGTCAGCGTCGAGGAGGCTGAAATTTTTGCGCGAGTTTTCGCCACTTCAAAAGCAATATCTCACTAATATAGTGAGATATTGAAGGAAGGGAAGGTAGTTTTGGAAAGCGGAAGGTTTGCGCTTTCTGATGGTTTGGCTTTCTTCTACATTGTCTAGTTGAGGAGATAATTGCGTCGAGGATCTATCGAGGATGATTCTCGGCCGCTCAAAAAGCCGCTCCCTTCTTCACCATTGCACGTGTAATTCGTTGGCAACGCTCGAAATGTGTCTAGAATACATTTTACAAATAAGCAATACGAAAAGGGGCAATCGTCATCATCCGACTCTGCCTGGGTACAGGCCATGCATACGGCCTTCACTCGAAGTTGCAGAATCGATTGAAAGGTGTTATATGATCATGACCAGTTGACAGAAAGTGCAATGTAGTAAACACATTTCGTAACTCTTATCGCCTGAGAAACAGCTTCATTTGCTCAGAGCCTTTTCTTCACTGTTGTCGTTTTTGCGACAGGGTCCCTAACAACAGTGCCATTATTACTATTATTACCGGTATTATGTACGATGGCGGACGGTAGATAGGGGCATGCAGCGCGCGTGCATATGTGGCTGTCTTGCTTGGGGGATGCACTTCCTTCCTTTGTATTGCTGTCAAATACGCCCTTCTAATAAAGATAGAGGAATGGAGAACTGAACCAAAGAACATTATATCATTTTTCTCACATATCTTCCTTTTCTGCTGCGCTATACCCTCTTACCTATCTGCACACGATACCACTGCTGTTACTGACCCCCAAGAGTACGACCCCCATGACCCAGCCCGACAGGTACGACCCCCCTGTCGAGGATTTCCTCGACCGATATTCACCCTGCTTTCGAGTGTGATATCAAAAACGCTACATGTAAATTGAAACACCATCAGAGTTCTGGTGATTAGCATTTCTCTGCACCACAAATTTCGAAAATTCAAGTTTTTTTTTAGCAATTTGTGGTGGTGAATTGATGCCTACGATGGTTCTACTCACAGAAAATGGTCGAGTGACAAAAAGCTGGGCACTATTCCACTATTACTGCCCCAAAATCTCAAAATTTTATTTTTCGTCGAAACTTTGCCTATGGGGTAATTCGATGCCCTGATTACGAATATGACATTCATTTTTGATGCTGGCGCCATTTGGCGCCATTTGGCGCCACGCTGTTTCCACCGAATCCGCTGAACCATTTGGCGCCACAAACAACACTTCACAGTCAGAGCGTACTCTTAGGCACCTTTCTCAGAGCGCCGACTGTCAGACCGTGGGAAAGGTCATCGAATCAGACTTTCCCACGATAGGAAGGAGCCTTCGGTGAACGCAGACAGTGCTATTGGGGAGGGTGAAGGGGAAAGGGGAATGAACAGGCACACGGAAGCGCAGCCCAACTATGTGTTAGGATAATTTATAAGGCTAAGCCTCAAGGGGTGAGAAAGCACTCCGGGGATCGCTAACCAACTTTTATTTTCAACGAAGCTCCTCCCCCTCTGAGGCTGAGTCCTAAGTACCCCACCGCTACGTTTGCGTCGTTAGCACCATATAGCCATGGCGCCAGCGCCAAAAACGAATGTCATATTCCGGCCTCTAATAACCCCTATATGCGAGTTTTCAGCGGATTCGGTGGAAACAGGCGTGGCGCCAAATTGGCGCCAACTGGCGCATATCTGGCGCCACGGCTATATGGTGCGCATTGGCAATAGTGCCAAAAACTCTCACAGCAACCATTACATACCTCGGTTATTATATATCCATATGAGTGAACTATATGAGGACAATCATACGCTCGCGATAATATTCGAAGATCCATGATGATTCGTTTGCTCTCAACTGGATTGGTGCTTCTGGGCATGGACTGAAATACATCACTGAACGAGTTGTGAAAGAAAAAAAATAAAAGGTTCAGATTCTTTATTTGGATGCTCAGGTCAGCTTTCATAACATTTCTTGAATGCCCATAACTGGAAGATGTGCATTTTTGAATGAAGCAAAGTATTTTTATTGAATGGAAGGAAGATGAGAAATAATGAGTAGCTCTATTGGGAATTACCAAGCATGACCCATTCCGCGTAAATTGCAAATTATTGTTGAAAAGCTTACCATTGAAAGGATTGATCAAGTGCACAACAATTCACATTAGGCATGTCTGACACTCTCTTATAAACCGCCTGCGCGTGAGCAAAAAAAAAAACAATCGCGAGGTCTTTAATCCTTCCTCGACTTGCATGAATTATTGCTTGCGTTCGTTCGTTGCGTGTTTATATCTCCACAAGAATGACGTGTTATGAAACAGAATTCCCCCCCCCCCCTCCTCCCCCGCAGGACAAACCGTACCTCTAGCCTACCGGGCAAGTGCGCTACAAGTTGCGCTATCATGGCACCGTCTCGCCCTATTAAAGCTTTTTCCGGGATATCTACCACAGTTTATCAACACGTGTACAGTTGATTTCTGATCTCTACGGCCTACGGACTTGACGTGGCGACCGTCACACTTAGTAGAAATCCCGCGGAATAAGCCGCTTTCAACATACTTCGCTGGGATCAGCAAGGCAGGCCAGAAGCAGCTTATCCACGCAACTTCTATCAAGTGCGGCGGCCGCCACGTCATTTCCGGTGGCACGCCTACTCAGTCTTCGAGATATGGACTACAACGTGGTGAGCTGGTTAACCGAGATCAGCGACGAACTGCAAAGCCGAAAGTTTTAATTAGACTTGTTCTTGAATGTCACACTAAACAGTAATGTCAGTTGTGAAAAGGGACATTTCTGACACAAACCTTGACAGCGATAATGTTGTCGTCATACCGCATCTTCGACACATGTCCACAGCTTCCGTGACCCAGTTCAGCTAGTAATTCCAAATCCTCGGCCGACACCTTCCGGACTCGACCTCAAAACCTCAAAAATACTAAGCAAGAGTAAAAAGGTAGATTAAAATAGCTATGCGAGGGCCTACGCACCGACAACTCATCAAAGCAAAGCAACAAGTTTTCTCTCTTACCTTTTGTATTCGCATCGTCCCACAAATTAGGAGTGCTTTCTCAGCACGGGTTTTTTTATGTCGTACATCAAAGGGGATAAGAGAAGGGTGACGGGTTAGTCCAAACTCACAATCAGATGTTAACCTTCAAATCTGCCATCTCTTTGCATCTATCGATTTAAATGAGAGTTGTGTGCGAGGTAAACGTCCTTATGCTGCTGACAACTGTAGGCCAATATTGACAAATTATAGGGTTCAGAGACTTTCCAGCCATATTATCGGAAAAAAAGCTGTGAGGGTCGAACCCGCGGCAGACTAACTGCTCACCGCGCTTCTCTGTCATAACTCAGCGAGTTTGCTGCGAAGCGTACGCCTATAGTGGCTTAAAAAGATTTCCCACGGCGGTGATTCTTTTCTCCCAGTCGTCTACTCCCGCCGACTATCTAGCTATTTTAGCAAGGGAACATGGTGGAGCGTTCACGTTGGTGACGAATGCACCGAAGGATTTCGCCAAGCAAAGGAACTACGGAACTGCTTTGCCGGTTTTCGAAGTCCCTAAGCTTCTTACTTACGAATGCACCCCCTAAACTCTAACTTCATTCCCAGTGACAATTTATCGTAACATTTATCTTAAAGGCAGAGGAGTAGAAGAACTTTCAAGAGCTAAGTGAACTTGGGACTTTTCAGGACAACTTTCTCAAGATGGAGATCTTCTCCGCTCTCTTTTATGAGCGTCAAGCTCAAGCGGACGAACGAGTATGCCATCTACCAAAAATAAATGCATGTCCGTACACACTTATTAAACAGTCTTGAACGCGCAATCCCGTGAAATCTTCGAACTATAGACAGAAGAAAAAAAAACAAAAAATGTCAAAGCATGCAAAAAACTTTGTACCTCCAATTGTGAGTAATCCGGAAGAACCCATCAATTCATTGTAAAGTGAATTATTCACGTTCTGTACAGCTGGACTGACCTCGTCTCGCATGTCCCCGAATTCCAAATTCATATCTCTACCGACTGAAATAAATACTGAATAAGTAAAACTAGGACTAGTGGCAGCGGGAAATCATACTTTTCCCAATGGGCTATGCATTTCCTTCATCAATCTTTGGTCACCTGGAGG